AAACGGTGTGGTTTGGACACGTTACAAGGCACGGCAGCCTGTTCAAGACCATCATGAAAGGCACCATTGAAGGTGGACGTAGGAGAGGACCGCAACGCAAAAACTGATTGGATAATGTCAGACAATAGACAAGTATGACTATAACAGAATTTCTGACGGCTGACGGCGTTGATAGAGCATTGTGGAGGAGATTCAGTCTGGCTTCTGCATTCAGATCCCCCCAATGATTACAAAAATGAAGTGGATGATTATATATATATATATATATATATATATATATATATATATATATATATATATAATTATTAAATTTTATATGTTATAAAATCACGACAAAAATAGCCATTTTGTTTCAACACCTCTGGTGCCTTATCAAGTGATAGTGTTGATAGTGTTGAATGTAGAATAAAGGGTTTTAAAAGGTTTAAATCAATTAACCACTCCTCGTAAGGGGAAACGATGTTACATAAGCTGGAATGACCAATCAAAATACAAGTATACGAGAATTAAAAAAACTTGACAACGAACTAATGTTATAACTATTTAATGTCTTAATGTTAGGGTTAGACTAAAATAGAATTTATTCTAGCTAATAAGTATTAAATTATACGATAAAATTTCAAATTAAAAATTAAAAATTACGCATTTTAAAATTTAAATTTAATCTCTATTAAGTTTAAAATTATAAAATTACTGAGGAAAAAAGAAAAAATACATGTTATTCTATTTTTTTTTAAAATTAATTTGGAATAAACGTTAATATCAACTGTTCTGAGCTTTATGACAACATAGATACATTTGAATTCTTATAAAACGATATATAGTCTTGTATAATTTTATATATCAGCAGCATTTAGTATGACAAATTGGAAAAAAGTTTTTGTGACGCGTTTCATTCGTTAGGATTTCATCGGACTGGGTTTTGTTGATGTTGCCACGTCTACACATGCGTATGAAACGAGAGACGCTGTTTGTTTCAAAATTCTTGAAAGAATATTTTTGAAAGAATATATTTCTTTTGAAAAAATATTTCTTTTCAATCAAACCAAATTCATCAATATTCTTTTTTCTTTTCTCTCCATCACCTTTGTCCCTGACTATTCCACATTTTGACAATAGAAAATCTACCAAGAATGGTGATATATTGTAAGAACTTGGACACAAATTTACCTTTGCTGAACTGGCGATAAAGGCACTTTCCAGACAGTTTTGCCTTAATGGATTATTTTCTCTTTTATTCAAAGTAGCCTTACTTATGCCAAAATTGTGGTCAGTTTCGTTACCGTGAACTACTAATGCATTTTGTGTGTTGTTTTGTTAAAATGTCTCTTTTGTGTTCGTATAGTCTTTTGTTTAAACATCTTGAGATTTCTCCAGTGTATTCATTCTTGTAATTCCTGCACTTACCTCTATGGTAACTAGAATTTAGGAATTTAAGCACAGTACTAGATTTGCAGAAATCCGTTGAAATGGCTAGATGTAACCGTAATTTCTATTCTAACAGAATATCATGTGTTCCACGGGACATTAGATTGGCTGCTGGTCAAACGTCCCCTGAGAGAGGAAATAATACACATCCTCTTTGTACAACATCATGTGGCTAAAAGAGAAAAATAAAGAAAAAGACTTTTCGACATTTTCTTTTTATATCGGCTTGTCGCGGTCTTTAGTGGAGCTAATCTCACATCATCAGTAATAATTCTTAACACAAACACTGATGTTTTAATGTATTTTAGGCAATACTACGAAGGTTAAGCAAGAAAAAACTCGTAAAACTGAGTGATCGCTAAAAGTATTTCTACTTATCATTTAAATAAATCCGTTATATATTGGTTTGAAAGAATAAATGTATAATAGTAAGATTTTGTCTCAGAAATTCAAACTAAAAGAAGTATGTAGCATCCAGAAGCTGAAACGTTGTGTATGATGACTACAAAAACAAGGATTTGTCCAAAAGAATAAATATATAATAGTAACAATATATCGTCTAAGAAATACAGACAAAAATTCATAAATTCTTTACAGCATGAATAAACCAGCGTATGGATAATTTAGTTTTCTTTTCAACAAATTCTTTTTATGCTGCATCCCATAATTAAGGCTTTTTCCCCATTCCGTTATTGGCTACTTCATTGATTTGCATTAATGTCTCAAATAATTTAAAAAATTATTTTTTAGTACGCCTTTTTCGCACAGTGTTTACTACCATTTAATAATTCCAAGTTCTGTTTCCCTTCTTCTTCTTCTTCTTCTTCTTCTTCTTCTCTCTCTCTCTCTCTCTCTCTCTCTCTCTCTCTCTCGTTCTTTAATTACTCTTTTTCATTAGTGAACGTTTTCGTTCCGTTCCCGTTTGTAGCTTTTGCAATTTCCTTTGAGACGGCCTACTCATGTCTATTTTTTTTTTCTATATTACAACCGGAAGTCCAACCGGACAAACACCAACCCACCATTTTTAATGTCTCGTGGCTACCACACAGTTTCTGTGAGACTTCAGTAAAATGATGAACGACAATAAACTAACAAATACAACGATAAAGTGATAAATGAAAACAGCAATTACAAAACATGTGAAACATCAAAACTGCTGTCATCCTTAAGAAATGCATTGTCTTTTAAACCTATTGTCGGAAAGTGCTCAACAGGAACAAGCGTTTATAAGACATATCCTGTTAGATCTATTGTCCTTGGTTTGTTTGCGTAGGTAACGAATTATTTCTCACTCTGTAGCCCTTTTCTCACAGACGAGACGTCGCAAGCCTCTTGCTACTCTATCGCTATTTCCATGGAGAGTGTTCAGGTGAACTACACTTATTAGCTCAACCATTCCCAACCTTTGCGGCTAAGACTCGCCATCCAACGCATATTGTAGCGACCTCCCCATTCCCTTTTATATTACTCTGGTGAGATGTAAGTTCCACTCAAGTAGCTTCTTCACACGAATCAATGCCTTGTGGAACCGACTCCCAAGAAGTTGCTTCCACGTTTACTACAATCTTAACCCGTTTAAGTCTAGGGTTAACCGTTATCTTCCACATAGCTGTGCCTCTTACTCTGTAACCCTCTACCTCGAGTAGACCTCGGGCCTGGTACAGGGTGAACAGCACTGTAAAAAAAAGTTCGATTCCAGACCGAGGTACAACCAGAGTTCACTGACTCAATAAAGGAACAGTATGACGCCACTTGGAGGAGAACATTTGAAATGTTGCATATTTATAAAATAATAGCTGGTTAAAAATCTACGCGAAGCATCCGGGACGAGATGTAAAAACGAGACAGAAGAAGAATACCTATTTCTGGATGAAATTTTCAGCATTCCTTGATGGCAAATGAATACGATGTACACTTGAGGATTCGAAAAATACACCGGATAAAATATTATAAGGATTATTATAATAATATAAATAAGGATTATTATAATAATATTGTTATGGGTCCTTACCTATAACTACAGAATGAACACTTCCTAACACTAGGTATACTACGCCTCTCAAGAGAGAGGGTCGAATCAAGCCGAGCTTCTCGACTTGACGGTCGAACTTTCTGCCTCTGAGCAGAGAGGAACCCGGACGAGGCTCCGCCGAACGGCAGAGTCTCGTTCGGGGAGGTTGACCAACCCGATCCCGTTTATACAGGTTCTACGGGCATTTTTTGGCCGAGCCTACTGGCTCGGGAAACCCACGTTAAACTCAGCCTTGTGCCACATGCAACCCTCGTGGGGGGTGGCTAGATACAGAATCGAGTCGAGCCGATAGTAGTTCACTCCAAACCAGACTGACAGTCATACTAACACCTTCCACATCTTGTATTATTATTTCGTGTAATATACCTTCGTTATTTCTACTCTTGTGTTCGTGTTGTTCTTCCTTGGTCCTAACCATGGACTATAACAAATATCAATAAGGATTATTATAATAATATTATAATAAGGATTAGCTGGACGTAAGGAATTTCACAGATGTTAACAACTAAGATAATCCATTGCAATTTTTAGTTCTCACCCTTTGTCTTAGTAATGTGTTAATAGGAGTATATATGCAAGAATATACGAGGATATAAGATGAAGAATGTTTAATAATAATAATAATAATAATAATAATGATGACTAGCATAGAAGTGATGATAGAAATGGGAAGTGAGATATTATTTGTGACTATAGGGTGATTAGAATGGGTATAATGAGAGTAACGACTATAAAAATAATTGTAGTAGTAATGAAAAAAGAGAAAAGTAGAAAGAGAAAATTACGTAAGTATATAATAAATAAATATGTATATGGATACATATACATGGTTAGAAAATAGTAATGTAAATAGACACAGAGAAGAATATATAAGCATGTATACAAATATCGTCAGGTCTTTTCCAAATATTAACACTAAAAAAAGAAAAAGGAAAACGTGTTTAGGTTGTTATTTTTGTAAAAAGTATAATCATTGAGAATTCCTAGGTCTTTATTTAATCCAAAATAGTGGGTATTAAATTTGATAATGAAATTTCTTTCAGCTTTTGTGAGAATTAAAAGATGAGGTTAAAATGGCGTAAGCGAACGTATTCGACTGGAATACGAACTCGGATCTCCGATTCCTCAATGCGACCCACTATCCATTAGTCCACCGTGCCTCCTTTGAGGCCGCCTAATAAGTCTATAAAAACGAATACATTTAGAAGAATATTCTATTAGTAAATTTAATTTGTAATTATATATATATATATATATATATATATATATATATATATATATATATATATATATATATATATATATATATATATATATGTGTGTGTGTGTCACGGAGCGTCCTTGCCATGCGCCCATATGAAAAAAAATACCGGCAATATATCCACGGTAGTGAATGGCTTCCAAATTATATCGGAATATCAATTTTCGTGTGAGAGTATGCTGGGAGCAATTTTAGTCACCATGTCTGCGCCTTGTGTCTGTAAAAAGTGGCGGCCATTGAACTTGAAGTTGTTATGAGTATATTGAATGCTTTGCACACATCATCCCCATATTCAGATAGATAGATAGATAGATAGATAGAAGGAAGTGATGAAAAGTTCTCAACCCGACCAAGACAGTCGTCCTTTAACATGTGAAACGCCATACTTCTTGAAATAGACAGTGTAGTCGTTTTCTCTTGCCTTCTTTGCGACTTGAATTTTGAGTTATTCTCAAAGACTAGCTAACATCTTTAGAGAAGCTCAGCCTGTCCTACTATTTAACCCATAGCTGGATAGAAAAAAAAAGCTTAAGAAAATAAGGGGATAAAACCCCTTCAGTACAGGGAGATAAGTTTACTTACATATGAAGTCACAAAGACTACAAATAAATACAGCTATTATTACCCATGAGACATTTGAGTGCATACTACTTCTCGCGTGTAGGTAACACTATACAGCAATATGAAATTAGGAGAAATTTAAAATTAAATTTAAATCAAAAGCCTAAAAATGATTAATAACTGAATAAAATATTAGCCCCCAAAATTTCCACTAAAACATTGCAAAACAAAAAAAAACAAAAACAAAAAAACTGTTGCAGATAATTATTTACATTGATTGTATCACGTGACATTGTTTTTGAAATCGTCTATATCACTGCAATTTTTTTTCCGTTAACCAATCTTTTGGATTTTTTTTTCTCCATTTATTTTTATTTTTTTTATTCTTTTTTTTAAAGAGAAGATCCGCCACTTTTTCATCGGACTAGATATTTTCTCAAAAGAAAATAAAAAAAATATCGGATTTTCGTCTTTCTTAGATAGCGCGAAGGCTCATAAGCACCAAATGTCGCTATGGTTACATCCTACATCTCGGCGAAATACAGTTTCTCGTCATAAAATTAGATAAGTATTGTACAAAGAAGCTGGGTTCCTATTCGCCTACTAACACAAGAGCCATAAATAACCGAAAGCTACACTGCTGTCTTATCATATTAATTTTTTTTTAAAGAGCAAAGTATACTATCAAATGGCTCCAGGTCATCAGAATGGAATGGTGATTTTTTAGTGTGCCATGTTGGTGATGACAGTAGCATCCACAGACTGCATTTAGCGTTCGACTTAATGATTTTGTATTCTAAAATTTTTAGAATTTTATAGATTTTTTTTCCCAAGAAGAAGGTTGCTTCAAAATTTTACCTCGCCTCACTGAAGATATTGATTGTTAACCACATGCTATCAGTTTTTATCATGACGCCAACCACGAGTTATTTCGTTTTTTTTTTTTTTTTTTTTGTTGTTTTGTTTGTTTTTTTTTTACGGTAAGGTTCACCCTGTACAAGGCCAGGGATCTATTCGAGGTAGAAGGTTACGTTAAGGGGTAATTTATATGGACACGAGGGGAAAATAACGGTTAACTATAGACTTGAACAGGTTAAGATTGTTGTGATCGGGGAAACATCATCTTGGGAGTCTGTTCTCTAGTGGTTCGCTGGAAGAAGCTGTTTGAGTGGAACTTCTCGCCGATGGAATACGGGGGAAATGAGGGTGCTTTGTTACTATGTAAATGGCTTGGCGGTTCCTAGTCGATAAAGTCAGATTTGGTGGAACCAGGAGATGCAGTTCGTCGGAGCACTTTCCATGGTAGTAGAGATAGAGCAGTGAGAGAGTCGCCACATCCCGCCTGTGAGAGAGAGAGAGAGAGAGGTTGGAGAGTGGAAAATAATTCTTATCGGGACTGGAAAGCGCAGTCTGAACAGCTCCTGTCCAAATATGGCAACAGTACTTCATTTTCTACCTGACCTAGCTCTTATAACAGTAGAGGATAGCCTGAGGAGTCAATTACTTACTGGAGCGGTACAGGGAGTCGATCTGTTTACCTGTATCTTTACCGATGGATCGCATATAAGAGTTCCACTTGAGGTCAGGTGTGAGTTTGAGGCCCAATATTCTCTCAAGGCACGGTACCTCATCGAGGAGACACCCGTTTATCGCGACTGGCGGTAATTCGGGTTCTGATCGGCGGTGATGGAATGTAACCAGTTTGATTTTAGAGGCATTGAATGTAACCTACCAGTTTTTCACCCTGGAAAGTTAGTGTTAGATCGAAAGAGGGGTCAGCTAACAATCTCCGATCGTCAAGACTTTTAGAGTTGCGCCCATATATCATCATATCATCGGCAGAGACAAATGATCGGGGTATATTCTTAGATAGATCATTCATGTAGATCAGAAAGAGGGTTGGCCCGAGAAGTGATCCCTGAGGGAGTTTATAAAGTTAGCATTTGAAATCAGATTTCATAATTGACCTTTAGCGGTCAACTTGTTATATTAGGTTGTTTAGAAAGTAATTACATATATTTTTAAATCATTCTACACCATGCAAGGTACTGCTACTAGTGTGTAGAGGGTTACAAGAAGTGAAAGTGAAAGTGAAAGTGAAAGAGAAAACTTAAAATTGGGAGGATTGAAGAAAGGACAAAAGATAAACAGGGTTCAAGAAGACAAAAGATGATGATGGGCGTTGCCTTTACATTTTTTAAGATTGTAGTCTTCACGGTAGCAAGGAAACAGAACAGATTTCAACAGGTGGGGAGTGTGAGAAAAGAAACTGGTGTAGTAGAAGTGGCGGTTGCATTTAGCTATTTGAACAATAAATTGAACAGGACCTAGTTGCCAATCTAGTAGCACGCTTGGAAAAACCTCGAGATTTACGGCAGGAGAAATTCCGCTTGAAAGCACGAAATTTGGCCTGATCTGACCGACTGTTCTTCGTAGCCAAGTCGGTAAGGTGTACCCAGCTAAAGGGTAGCTCCTTTTGCCCAGAGATGCGTTAGGTCGAATTCTGCTAATTTAACTTTGATTAAAATTTCTCGAACATTCAGGACGGTAAACTAAAATAATTTAATGTAGTGCTTAATAAATAAATGGAGCGTCTACTCAAATACGAGCATCCTCTAAAAAGTGATACAAATCTGTCGGATTAATAAAATATCCATTCTAATATACATATATATATATATATATATATATATATATATATATATATATATATATAAAGGTGTGTTATGTTTATAGGATAAAGTGCTCAATATCAGTGATAGAGCGTATGTAAATATAAAAGTGAACATTGAAGTCAACACTCATAGGCGAAAGACTGTCTCATGCTAGACGCTATCATCAGGGCCTGATGATTGCGTCTAACATGAAACAGTCTGCCGCCACTGAGTGTTGATTTCAATGTTCAGTATTATATATATATATGTGTGTGTGTGTCTGTGTGTCTGTGTAATTGTCTATTTGACAGCAACCCCTATTTGATAAATTTCTTTAAAAAGACAAGGTACTTTTGCTCAGTTTTTATTAGATTTTACTTGTATATATACAACTGTCTCTTTTTTTCCGGATTTAATGAATGTAAAAATTGTCCAAATTTTTCTTGTTCCATGCGAATTCAGCTGAACGAGTCAGTCGTCTTGACAGGTCGGTGGTAGTGTGTCCATAATGTTTTCGTCGGGAATGCGGTTCCCTATGAGACCATAAATCCATAAATATTGTTGGTCGCATATAGTTTTGATTTCGTCGGCGAGATGTTATTTCTGATGATATGGTTAATTTTTTTTTATAGTAGATAATTAATTTGATAACATAATAAAGACTAAAGTACCATGTCAAAGTTGTTCAATTAAATATATGTGTGTGCGCTTGTGCGCGTGCATGTGCTTGTGTGTATGTGTGAATAATCCCTACAAGTGTCATTGCTTAGAAATTTAGTTTTTAAATTTACAGTTTTTAAATTTAAGGTTCCAAAAGATCATTATTTAAGTGTCCTATTGTAAATAAGCTAGTAGATAAAGAGCCAGGCAAAAGGCACCTAGATTAAGTTTAACGTTAGTGTTGTAAATCAAAGGTTTAATTCCTGGATTTGGTAGCCGTTATTCCGTGGACACGTAGACCGTCATCATATGAAAAGGATTCTGAAATTCCTTGGGAAGGTCAACGTGAAGTGATATAGACAGCATAACCAGTAAACGAACATATGTTTTCTTTTTAATATTACCGAATCCAACAGGCTCTATTTTTTCATGTCCATGTCGACCTTAAAACACCTGACGATTAACCGATGAATGGTAATGTTGTCTGATGTAATGCAGTATAAAATTGCAACTGTTCCCTCAGTTGTCCGTTATTTGCCACTGTTTGTTAGCGGGAACTGCGTGATAGATTTTGACGACCATAGTTTACGGTCCGATCACAAATGGCGGGCTTTATACTAAATAAACCATTAACGATGCAAGAATTGTAGCATTAATGGAAGCCATTCATCATCTGGTAATGACAGGCACGTCAAAGAGTCGGAGAGTCTAAGTTGGTATTTACATATCCATAAAGGTAATAATATATATGTAGATAACATGTATTCAAGTGCTTAGACACGCGCGTATAAATGACTATAAATGAGTGTAGCTTTCGAAATGTTTATTCATATTTATTTATCTATCGCATTTCGTTTTCATATGTTTCAAACTATGGATATATTAATTTAAACAGATACGCATTTGGTTATAGATTTTATAAATAGTGTGTACTAAAAGAGACTTGGACGACGATCTTCCAACCAGAAAGAGGCTACTTGTGAAAAAAAAAATATTTAAAATACAAGTTTTTAAATGTTCTCCATTTTGGTCAATTGGTATCGGATGTAGATTACATTTGTAAAAAGCCATATCAGTGGTGGGTGTATTATTTTAATCATTTCACCCCTAGACAGGCAATAAAACAACTAAGACGCAAAGGGTTACTGAGTATAAAAGAATGGAAAAGTATTATTAAGGATGGAGAACAATAAAAGAAAAGGGATTAAGAAAAACAGACAATAACGATTGACATTGCATTTAAATGTTTGAAGATCAATTTGACTGAAAAGCAAAATGCCGAAAGAGAGTTCTACAAGCGAGAAGTGCAAGAGAAGAAACTGTTAACAGAATTTACGCTTACATCTAGAGATTTCAACAGTAAATTGTTGAGCCATTACCACTAATCTAGTTCTGTATACAAAACACACACACACACAGACATATATATATATATATATATATAGATATATAGATATATATATATACAAGCAATATATATATATATATATATATATA